GTAAAAAAAGCATTTATTTCTAGTTATTAAAGTTGTTCGCATCATCGCATGCTATCTTGAAAAAAAACGTTGAATTCTCGTTTATACATTGTATAGGCGTTCGTTATTCGGAAAAAAGCATTTATTTCTAGTTAATTCAGTAGTTTGCATCATCGCATGCTATCTTGGAAAAAAGCGTTTATTTCTCGTTTGTACGTCGTATAGGCGTGCGTTATGCGGAAAAAAGCAATCATTTCTAGATAGTTCAGTAGTTCGCATCATCGCATGCTATCTTGAAAAAAAGCGTTTATTTCTCATTTGTACGTCGTATAGGCGTGCGTAATTCGGAAAAAAAGCATTTATTTCTAGTTAGTTCAGTAGCTTGCGATGATGCGACCTACTGAACTATCTAGAAATGAATGCTGTTTTTCCGCATAACGCATGCCTATAGGACGTACAATCGAGAATTGAACGCTTTTTTTCAAAATAGCATGCGATGATGCGAACTACTGAACTAACTAGAAATAAATGCTTTTTTTACGGATAGCGCACGCCCATGCGACGTACAAACGCGAAATAAACGCTTTTTTTCAAGATAACATGCGATGATGCGAACTACTGAACTAACTAGAAATGAATGCTTTTAATCCGAATAACGCACACTTATACAAAGTACAAACTAGAATTAAACGCTTTTTTTCAAGATAGCATGCGATAATGCGAACTACTGAATTAACTAGAAATGAATGCTTTTAATTCGAATAACGCACGTCTATACAACGTACAAACTAGAATTAAACGCTTTTTTTCAAAATAGCATGCGATGATGCGAACTACTGAACTAACTAGAAATAAATGCTTTTAATCCGAATAAAGCATGCCTATACGACGTACAAACTAGAATTAAACGCTTTTTTTCAAGACAGCATGCGATGATGCGAACTACTGAACTAACTAGAAATGAATGTTTTTAATCCGAATAACGCACGCCTATAGAACGTACAACCTAGAATTAAACGCTTTTTTTCAAAATATCATGCGATGATGCAAGCTACTGAACTAATTAGAAATGAATGCATTTAATCCGAATAACGCACGCCTATACGACGTACTAACGTGAATTAAACGCTTTTTTTCAAGATAGCATGCGATAATGCGAACTACTGAACTAACTAGAAATGAATGCTTTCTTTCCGAATAACGCACGCCTATACAACGTACAAACTAGAATTAAACGCTTTTTTTCAAGATAGCATGCGATGATGCGAACTACTGAACTAACTAGAAATGAATGCTTTTAATCCGAATAACGCACGCCTATACAACGTACAAACTAGAATTAAACGCTTTTGTTCAAGATAGCATGCGATGATGCGAACTACTGAACTAACTAGAAATGAATGCTTTTAATCCGAATAAAGCACGCCTATACGACGTACAAACTAGAATTAAACGCTTTTTTTCAAAATAGCATGCGATGATGCAAACTACTGAACTAACTAGAAATAAATGCTTTTAATCCGAATAACGCATGCCTATACGACGTACTAACGTGAATTAAACGCTTTTTTTCAAGATAGCATGCGTTGATGTCTATAATATCTCGTCTATAATATATAAACTGTTATTATAAGGTATCCTGAAACTATCCTATATTAATCTTAAATAGATCTTACTGATAATAGCTTCTATAGACAGCTATATAAGATGTTTAAAAAATATGTGAGAAAAAAAATTATGAGATAAAGAATAATGATGACTATATGAGAGATAAATTCGAATTTGTTGATTTGTATATTTATGTAATGTCCTATAGTAAGTGCACTTGCTCGCCTAATTGTAAGTTATGACAGGTTACCCTCAAAATATCCTATATTAAACAACATAATAATTTAATATCGAGCACTAAGAGCCCATAAACGCGGATGGCAATGCGTAAATTTTTACGAACATTAATTGTTCGCGAAAAAATTTTATAAGACATATGCACATATGCCAGGTTATAGATTCTCTTGGTTTGAGACTTCTATAACAACCCCTTTTACCCCCCTGGAGAGATGTAGACAGGAAAAATACCGGGGCGAAGTCGCTGAATCGGGAATCGAACCCGAGTCTTTCGCTTGCCGGGCGACTGCTCTTACCATTGAGCTATTCAGCCCCACACCGATACTTCTCCTGTACGTTCTTATTAATCGGTGGAAATAATGAGAACACGATAATTAGCTCAACGTGTAGTTCTAAATAAATTGGTATATAATTCGGCTCTATGTATTTTAAACAACATAATAATTTAGTATCGAGCACTAAGAGCCCATAAACGCGGATGGCAATGCGTAAATTTTTACGAACATTAATTGTTCGCGAAAAAACCTGGCATATGTGCATATGTCTTATAAAATTTTTTCGCGAACAATTAATGTTCGTAAAAATTTACGCATTGCCATCCGCGTTTATGGGCTCTTAGTGCTCGATACTAAATTATTATGTTGTTTAAAATACATAGAGCCGAATTATATACCAATTTATTTAGATCCTATATTAATCTTATACAAGATCAAAAAACAAATTCTTATTTTTAGCTCTTATGCACAACTATAAAACGTTCAAAAAATATGTAAAAGGAAAAGAATAATGAGACATCTATTATAAGAGATGATTTTGCTTTCAAATTTGTCGATTATATCTATGGGATGTTATATAGAAAGCGCGCTTTATCTATTTGTATTACTGTTATGACAGAATATTCTCAAACCATCCTATTTTAATCTTGAGTAGAAAATAATCTTACAGATAGCTCTTACTCTGGACAGCCATAAGACGTTTTTGATCCTGCCGGAACACAAATTGAATAATATCAGAATAATTCTGAAATCTATTTTATTATGTGACAACTGCCAAATACTAAAGTTTTTTTTATCTTTATAAATATCCCGTTATTCATATATTCCAGTTTTTTCATATATTTTTTAATAATAATTTTCACACAAGATGAGAAAGGTATCTACATTTTTGCTACTGTTCTGATACAATTATAGAACTATAAGAATATAGTACACGAGTCGTTGCTAATCCATAAGTGTGTAAGAGAGGAAAAAAAAAGAACATTATTGCACGGTCCTCTTGTATCTTTATCTAATCTTGCGTATTATTTACAAGGCCATAGAGGTCTATATATATTCTCTTTTAATTCCTTTTATCGGGCGATGAAAATCACATCTAAAAGATGTCTTAAAGATATCTTATTGTGTTACATTTAAGATGTCTTTTGGCCTTTCTGTGCTATCTGCTGTATCTTTCTATTTTTATATTTTATTATCTCTTTCTCTCTCTCTCTCTCTCTCTCTCATTTACTCTATTCTTATTTTTATAAATACAGCAATCTTAGAACATGTTTTCTGTAAACGCTCACTGTAAACATTCTACATATTTGTTTTCTACATATGTATAATAATGAGTATCAAAGATAGAATGATGCTTAGAACACGTCAATATTCAAAGGGAACGCAGCCATAGATTACTTTCTATTTAATGACGATTGTAACGCGAAATTATTTTATCTATGGAATGAAGTCTATACTAAGGCTCACATATACTATATAAAACACGTTATGATCGCAACGCTAATGAACATTATCTGTCTTTGTTTAACTTTCCATGAAAGATAAGAATAACATAATTTCACAAGATAAAATAATTTCGCATTTCAGTCGTTAAATATAGAACGTAACTTGTGCCTGCAATATGTTCTCTTTGAATTACGCGCTGTAAGCATCATTCTATCGTTTTATTACACGTCGTCTACAATGGCAGTAGGATTAATCGATTAAAGCTATAACTTAAGGAATTAACCAATCAAGCATTAAGAGAATGCTCGACTGTGATTGGTCAATTTATTGAGTTACAGCTTTAATTGATTAATCCTACTGCTATTGTAGACGACGCTTTACTCATTTTACGTTAAAGAAAAATAGATTTCTGTAATTTTTTGTGTCTCTTGAGTCGAACGCGAAGTCTATTACGTTTATGATTATGGTATATACGTTTATGGTTGTGATCATCTAGACTTTTGTTTTCACGCGTTGAAAACATCATTCAATCTTTATTATTTGTTACAAAGAATCAATATTTGTTATCAAAGAAAGATAGAATGATACTTTCAGTGTGTGAGTGTCTAAACCGAATGCAGCCTCAGTGAAACATGGGAACATGTTCATATATGGTACTTGCTCAGCCGCCCGAGGCTACACGGACATGTGCGCTTGCCATAGTGTGCATACGCCAGTGCGCCAATGATCGACACCGGCACAGATCTACTTCCATTGTTGGCAGTGTGCTGTTCGTATTTTCGCTGGCATTCTGTCTTTTTACGACTAGACGACAGTATGACAGTTTCGTACAGATTTTTATCTGCATTAACCGAATATCGACGAACGACGTAGCTTAGGGCCTATCCAGACAAACTTGCATAAGACATAAGCATATACATAATCATAACCATAATAAAAGCTTATCTAGATAAACTTGCATAAGCATAATATATAGAGAAATCGACCAATCATAAAGCTGCGTTCCGAAATTCATTGTCAATATTGGCAATTGGCAATGAATTTCGGAACACAATCGCCGGTGTTATTATACTATAGTTTATTATGAAAGAATAAAATATTTGCCTCGTTTCGCGACAGACTTCTATAATACAACAGTAAAGATCAGCGTATATGTCGATGGAGATAATACATACTTTATTAACTTATATTTTAATTAGAAAACGTCGTTTTTTAAAAAAAAATAAACATAAAAGAAGATGGTGCGTCCTATAAATAATATGAGAAAATACCAAGGAGATTTTGCGCATCTTTTTCAAGAATTAAAAGATGATAAAGATATGTTTTTTCGTTATACTCGTATGGACGAGGATACATTTAACTTATTGTTAAATAAAATACGAAAACATTTAGAAAAATGTAATTGGCGAGCATTGCCTCCAGAGCAACGTCTAATAATTACACTCAGATATCTTGCAACAGGTGACCAGATGACTTCATTAGCATTAGCTTATCGTATTGGTGTATCAACAGCACATTTTATAATACGAGAAACATGTGAAATAATTGCTAATGAGCTTAGCACTGAATATCTTAATTTACCAACAATTAATGAATGGAAAAATATAAGCACAGGTTTTTGGCAAGACTGGAATTTTCCAAATACAATCGATGCAATGGATGGTAAACATATTCAGATACAAGCACCACCTAAATCTGGTAGTGTATATTTTAATTATAAAAAAACGTTTAGTATTGTGCTTATGGCAATATGTGATCATGAATACAAATTTTCTGTAATAGACATAGGTGCTTTTGGCAGTGACTGTGATGCCGGAGTATTATCAAAATCATTATTTGGCAAAGCACTGTATGATCAAACGCTTAATATATCGCATGAAACAAAAAAATTACCTGGATGTAATATAGAATTGCCTTATTTTGTCGTTGCTGATGAAGCTTTTCAACTGCATAAAAACGTTATGCGTCCATATTCTGGTCGATGTTTAAGCGATAATAAGAGTATATTTAATTATCGTTTATCGCGTGCCAGACGTGTAATCGAAAACACTTTCGGCATCTTAGTATCACGATGGCGAATATTTCGTCGCCCAATATGTGCTTATCCATCAACAGTGGATCGATTAGTTATGGCATGTGTAATTTTGCACAACTTTTTAATGACAGAAAATGCAAAAAAAACATTAAATGAACAAACATATTGTCCACCAAACTTTATCGATCATGATAATGATATAGGAAGAATAATACCTGGTACTTGGAGAAATGAATCATCTTATCTTGAAAATATAAGACCTACCAGAGCACACAGAGCAACCCGTGAAGCATATGAACAACGAGATACTTTAACTAAATACTTATTATCACCTGCAGGTGCAGTTACATGGCAAAATGAATATATTCATAGAGGATCTAATGACGATTTATTATATGGATAAAGATTTAACTTTATATATTTTTTCAGTTCTTTTACGTAATTCATATGCGACAAATAACTAAAAATCATCTTCATCTATTTTTTGTTTTTCTAGATAATTTTGAGATAGATAAAATTTAAAAATAATTTTTCTACTTTATCTGTCAGTAGATGTAGTAGGCCGGTTCTAACCCAGGTCCTCTGAGGGAGGTGAGGTGCGAGGGGATCTCAGCGGAGCGGGGGTATGACGTCACGCGGGGGTTGGGGGGGGGTCACGTTAATGACAAGCATAAACAAAAGAGCGGTATTCTTTTGAAAAGGATTAGGCCTAATCCTTTTTTGGGTCTAATCCTTTTTTGGGTCTAATCCTTTTTATTGTTCTTATATTTTATTGTATTTTATTATATTTTGAAAAAGATTTTGGGGACCTAATCTTTTTTATTGTTCTTTTATTTTATTTTATTGTATTTTATTATATTTTGAAAAAGATTTTGCGGACCTAATCCTTTTTATTGTTCTTTTATTTTATTGTATTTTATTTTATTTTTTAAGGAAAAATTTTATTTTTTAAGGAAAAATTTTAATAGCGCTAATGATCGGCTGCTTTGTCTGGGGATTACTCGATTAGACACAATACAATTGGACACAATTGGCTTTGATTGACTAATCGGAGGTGTCTCCCTCGTTTACATATCAGCGCCGATGTTCGGCTGCTTTGTACTCTCGAGGTACACCCGTAATAGATAATTCCAGGTTTTTTTTCCCGTTCGACGTATAAACAATAGAGATTAAGCGGACAAGCTTTCAGAGATTATCGGGGGACACAAAGAAAATTTTCTTGCAAATGGGATACTATAGAAAACCTTTTATACTCTTTTTTTTTTTTTTTACTCTTATACATATTTTTATGACTTTATTTCATAAACTTACATTTTTGAGATATTTCAGTCCAACCTTTTCAAGCAATCTGTGTAATATAATAGCGCATTTTTTCTACGATCCTAGGTACATTTGCAAGAAAATTTTCTTTCGTGTCAACCCCCAACAGTCTCTGAAAGCTTGTTGGTCGAATATAAGAAGGATCGAAGCGCAGCAGATCATAGTACATCATTTGAAAACGCATCGACACGTCGGTAGCAAAAAATAGTGTTCTCTCGGAAAGTGTTTTGTCAGAAAAAAGATAGTGTTCTGTTAGTCTTCTGTGATATATATATTGTGTGATAATACATCAAATGGAAAACGAAGACGAAGATCGCGTGTTGTCGTCCGACAGTGACTGTATTAGTGACTGCAGTGAGGATAGTGACTCTGCACTAGTCAGATCAAAAATAGTATCTATCGCAGAAATTAATGCATTAAGCGGACGAAAAAAATATTGCACGATATCCTTTTATTACTCGACTGGCGGCGCTTTAGCAGTATGTGCGTCCTGTATGATTAGGCTGCAAGGTGTAGACCCCATAGAGATGTATGCCGTACGAAAACATGTGATTCAGACATTGGATGCAACGGATGGACGATACTGTTCTAATTGCAGAGATCCGTTATATCTAACATTTCCGTGCAATATGTGTCCACAATGCACGTGAAAAAACATTAAAAAAGTGTCCACAATGCACGTTGTGAAAAAAAACATTAAAAAAGTGAATAAGACTAAAGTGTGCGAGCAACGGAATAAAAAATTAATGAACATGTCGGTGGTGGAATATTTAAGAAATCGTGAACTTGGCGGAAGAAATTCTCCAATCGCGACCTCCCATCTAAAATCGTATATAAAGATTAGAAAGAGGGATATACGAATTAGAAAGAGGAACAAATTAGAGGCAACCATTTGCCGAGATTGCTGTTTGCCAGGCGGAAATCGAGAAGCGTGTTCCGAAAGGATGCGAGGAATCCATCAGCATAACTATCTTGAATATATGATCAGTTATGATTCTGATTCGGATTCTGATCAATAATTGGAGGTAGGTCGCATGTGTAGGTATTTATTATCAAATTATTCAAATAATTAATTAAATTTTTTTTTATGTGCAGAAAGAGTCACCACTCTTCCACCGGCCGCCCCACCATCGCCTCTCATCGCCGCCCCACCATCGCCTCTCATCGACACCACCACCACCACCATATCGTCGTTGCCATCGCCCTCCTATTATATTATATATTATATATTCAATTATATATTATTCATTTTATATTTTTTGTATTCTTTTTTATACTTTTATAATTGTATTATATAATTGTATATATTACGTATTTTAAATTCTTTAAAATTTCATTTTGCACACTATGTATATAATACACATTTATATTTTAAATTCTTTAAAATTTCTTTTGCACACTATGTATATAATACACATTTATATTTTAAATTCTTTAAAATTTCTTTTGCACACTATGTATATAATACACATTTATATTTTGTATATTTTAAATTCTTTTGCACACTATGTATATAATACACATTTTATTTTATTTTATTAAAAATTAATTAATATAAAAAATCTTATTTATTTTCCAAATTCCTCTCTCCCTCTCTTTTCATTGCTCCATTTATTACTAAATTATAAGAAAACTATTAAAAAATTATATTAAATTATCAAAAATATTTTCATTGTGTGATATCTCTTCTCTCACGTGCACCGTATCACTTCTTCTGTCTCTTTCTTTCTTTCCTAGTGTTTGCTCTCTCATGATAATTCTCTCGCAAGGAGCTATGCATGAAAGCTGGGACGGGAGAGCGCGCCAAACGCAAAGAAAGTACACCATGATATAGATTTATAACTATTTATTCTGTTTATATATTTAGTATACAAATATAATTTTTGTCTTACATATTAAGAATTAAAAGCTAAAGATGCCAGCTCGCAATCGACGAGTTCATGCTTGTTGAAAACATCACTCGCGCGTATTACATATGATACTTCTTTCGGATCCGTTACAGTGGACGCGATATTGCAGAATTGTGTAAATTTAACATCAACTGTTTGGATAATTTTATCTAATCGATCAAAAGTTGCATCTATGCATTGATCGAGATCGAACATACGATGTAACGTCGATTCGACCATCATCATGCGTACATCCGAAGTTTCGAGACTTATGAGTTTGACGTCGTTAATCGTACGAACTCTCACTGTTAGCGGTCCAACGCTTATAAAATTGTAGTCATCTTTAGAGTCGTTCCGAAGTAAATTTTGAATATTGCGACGCTGCTCGTAGAGTCCTTTCCATGTTTCGAGAGATAATATCAGTTCCTTTCCTCGATGATCTCCTATGGCAATCTCCATGTAACTCGGTGGACCCACGTTGATACCAATTTCGAGGAATTTGAATTCCGTAGCTGTCAATGCGTATCGTCTACCTAGTATACGAGTCGCACGACGCTCCAACGAAATGCTATAGAAAAATTAAAATTAAATAATAGTAATAATAATAAAATTATAAAAATAGAAAAAAGTCAAATGAAACTTACTCGTCACATTTGTTCTCAAACGAAGTTTTATTACGACTCGGCACGTAATTATTATTCACGCGTCTTCTGACGTCGCTGCCGCTACTGCTTCTTTCGACGTAGTACATTTCTTTGAAGGTTATGAAAAGTGAACCATGAGCGGTTAACGCGAGACTGATCGTACAGGAATTAACCGGTTATACGTGACGCTCATCTTCCAAAAGTATGATGTAGTGGGGGGGGGATCAATGCTTCTAACGCTTTGAATTTTAGGAGAAGGGTGAAATAACGCTCAGATAAAATATTCTTAGAAACGCAAGGAAAGGTCTAGGGAGGAGGAAATAAGAGATAAAACACATATTAATGTTTACATATTTGTTTTATTTTCTTGCAATTTTTTCTGGCGTTGCGACCACCAGTTAAATATTTTAAATACATTTTGTAATGCGCAATTCTTAACATGTTTTCCACATCGCATACTATTGATAATATCTAATTTATTTAAAGCATCAATATCTTCGTAATCTGCATCCAAGGTTTCAATAATAATATAGCCATTTCCCGCATCGTCTAGTATATCGGTCAACCATTTTCGCTTTTCAAGTCCTTTAACGTATACGACAGACGATTCTTCTTCTTCTTCTTCGTGTATCGTACCAACGACAGCTGTTGTAATCGCACGCTGAGCCAAGCCATACGGAATGTTTCCGTCTTCCCATTGTAATCCGTGATGATTTCTAATCAGCCATGAGACTTGACATCGCTCAGATTTTGTAAGCGTGTGCCACGGTACGGGACTTGCGAAAAAGTAATGCGATAGAACGTATCCCTTTCTCAAGACTGCCGCTTCCTTCACGACAAAATTTTTCCCAATGATAAATCCTTGCAGATCCACAAACGTTGGTACGGACATGATGAGATCTCTATCTCTCTCTTCGATACGCCAGTCGAGAGGAATGACAAAACTCTAAAACCATCTCGCAAGACTTTGATTTATATCATGCTCCTCTTCCCCCTCTCTCTTGTGTCGATGTTATCGCCTAGGTGATTTTGCGTACAACGTTGGTCAACGGATTGTATTGGATCATGCGATCGTGTATGATGAGACAGTACGCAGTGGTATTCGGCGGCACATTCTCCTTACACTCGAATTCCAATCTCACATCCACAGTTGCGCTCTTAACCGATTCGTTTTGTCGAGAACAATCGATAATCACGAACGGACCGTGTTGCATAAACTTCAGGATGTCGAGACTCGGCTCGAAATACTCGTGTCCGTAATAATTCTTGCAGAAGCGTGCGTACGTATCATATAGAATGGCATATCTGCTTTTATCTAAATCCAGATTCATATCGTCATACGGATAATATTCCGAATTCAGATAGAGTTTCACGTTGATCAATTTGCAGTCGTCGAATCGACTCACATCCTTAGACATGACATTCTTCCGACCTGTCTGCAGAGCGAAGATAACGTATCGTGGTTTCTCCAGCTGAGTCGCAGTCTTAATGGCCCACGAATGCTTGGTTGTAAGCTGCAATAGCGGATACTCGTACAGATCCCATGAGCG